TGTCTGACACCTGATGATAAACATTTTGTCCTGAATCTGATAAAAATCTTGAATGCATTCTTCAGGTGCTTAATAAGCTTAATAGAAGAATATCAATAGGCTGATTTGAAAATTAGACATTTATTTCTTCTGCTGAATTTACTGCTATAGTAATAAAAATTAATCTGTACTGGTTTACAATATTGTGAATAGCAGCAGAGATTGCTTATGTTGTTTGGTGAGACTAAATTATTTTCATTAATATCCAACATAGTGCCTCAAAGAGAAGTAACTTAGTCTATTAGCTGCAGAGATAAAGTCTTAAAAATGATAGGAAAGAGGCAAGCTTAATCCTCTGAGTCTGCAGGCTGCAGGTGAGGTAAGGAGAGATTTCCACCGTGTCTTGAACCTGTACATGGGAGTATTGCTATTATTTATTTGCAGAASTTATAAACAATCTTTCCACTTCTGCATTGAAAATCACAGCCACAGGCTTTAGTCATTCAAAGGGAAAGAAAATMAACCATTTATTCCATTATTCAGCACTGTGTATAATTTAWATAACAGGAGGTTTTGGTGGATGAMTTTCAAGTTTTCTTTAGTTGTTGAACTGATAGTGGGTGAGGGGATCCTGAGGTTATCTTGTAATCTCTGCACAGCCATACAAATACTCACAGCAAGCCTAGGGTGTTATTTCCTCCTTTGTCCTTTTTTTTCTGTTGCAAATAAATGGATAAAGCAAATACCCTTTGTATTTTGTCTTCAGTATTTATTTTTGTCTATTGAGGACTTTAATTTGGTTTAAAATAAAATTAACTGTATCTATGCAAATTGGGAATGTAAATTTTCTCWCATTGTTTACACTAAGAATATAACATATTGTAATTTTTTTATAGATTTATGGCCTCTTTCTTTCTAAGTGGTTATCATTTCTTTAACTGTGATTTATAATTTMATCAMAAACAGACTAAGTGCCTTGTAAGGSATGTGTCTGTGTATGAYTTTTGTTATTGTGTCTAGACATAGATGGGGAAAATGACCAAAATAYTCTGTGTACTTCCTATTACATTACTTACCTTGTAGTGAACAGCCTACCTATTGCCAGGGAAATTTTATATTTGGAAAAATTTTAGTAGTCTTYTTTGTCAGAGAGGGTAAAAGGAAGTTCCAGGTATTATTTCATTCAAGATCAGGATTTAGTTTGATCCGTTTTTAGATGTCTCAAGAGAGGGAATTTTGTCTCATGTGCTTCAGTGACGGTATTTTAAAAAAAAAACAATAGTTGAGCAATTTTGATTTTATGTCTCCAATTCCCCTGAACAGTCTCAATCAGTTTTGCAACCCTGCCAAACATTTTGAAGAGAACTTTTGTGTAAATTAATTACAGATGCAAATTACTAGAATCTCTCTAAAGCAAACAACAAAATCAAATTTTGTGCTCTTTAATAAGTGGGATTTTTAAAATACATTAACACAAGCTGTTGCTTTTTCTTTTTGATGTTGGGAAAAAATCGGTAAGTTTGTCAATGAGAGAAGACAGAAGCAATGAACCCTTCCCACTGAATAGACAAATCCCTTCTCTCATTACTCTGTGTGTTCATGAGAAAAATGAAGCACCAAAAATAATATACTTTTAAAAAAATCTGTATTTTCATGTGTACATATATATGTACATAGATCTGGAACTGATGATGGTTTTCACTTCATTAGAGATACAGATAGGCTGATAACCAYGTGCTGCCAAACACCATAAAGGATAATGGGTATGAGAGGAGCAGTTTGTTTCTTTAGGTAGAATCTTAATCCAGCTGCTTTACAAATGGAAGGATTTTTCTTTATTTCAGACCAAGTTTTATTGGTCTAGTTCTGAAGAGTTAAACTTAGTCCTGTTCCTTCCAGACAGATAATCTGTTCAGGGTACTTGAGCTGTCCCAAGGTAGCTTGCAGCATATTATCATGTTGCGTTTTGTGTTCAAGACWATAATCTACCAAGGACAATTTAACAACTCTTACGAGTTTATTGGAAGCGATAAATTTCATTTGCAGAGGGAAATACTTTGCTATTGCAYTGATTTCCTAAAGCTGTCCTTTTCATGCCAAAGTCAGCTTGTCCTTAGAAAAGATTAAAAGGTCTGTAGAGGTTTACAATGGGTAATTTCATGACCAAGATTTTTCAGTCAGATTTACATGTTGAGTTTATATTTCTGTTCAGAGTGTTGATATGACTAAAGAAAAAAGCTGCAGCAAACYACAATCCAGACACAAGGCAGTAAGTTTTTTTGTGGAGCACTAAGAACTGAATCCATTAGTGACTGCAAATTTATCTTTTCTTGTCCTCATTATTGAGTACTCACAGGTGTGTGTATATATTTAGACAGTAGAAATGAAAATATACTTTAATATCAGCAACTCAAACCATAGTGCAAGGACCATAAGGCACAGGATTTTTCCCACATCAACAAGGAAATGCAGAAATACTGATAAAATAAAAAGCAAAAGTGAATAATCTTGCTATCTGAAAAATATATTGGTTTCTAAGACATAACAATACCAGAAAGAAAGAAGAAATCACAACAACAAAAATCAGTAGTATTATTTGTTTAATGACCCCATCTTGTGGAGCAGTGCCCAYGCTTCAGCACATTTATAGCTCTCATATGCATTTTTTTTTAACTGCATCCATTTCTTGATGGTGAATTGCTTGGCATTGCACTTGCTGTGTCCAGAGAAGTGCTCTGCAGGTAATTCATCATTTGTGCACTGTGGCTGTGCAGCAATAGAACACTTGTTGGTCACACCGAGCTTGCCAGGGTCGATTCTTCRCATTTAGTGTTTGGTTCAGCCTCAGGTCACCACCACCCTGCTGCWTAGCTCCTGCTGCCCTGTGTGTCTCTCAAACAGACCTGCTGGGAGAGTTCCTGGCTGTTTTTGGGGAAAAACAAACCCATCTCCAAAGCTGGGGCTTGCCAAGTCACTTGTTTGCAGCGCAGCAGTGCAAGTGAGAGCATTGGCTGGGCTGATGCCTGGTCTAATTCACCAAGTGTTGGTCATAACCAGTGCCAGATGTGCTACATCTGCCAGAGTCACCATTTCCATGTTTGCTGTTCCCAAATAGTTGCTCACAGAGCTTGTTGAGCTATGTTTAATGATTGGCAGCTTGGATATTTTATTGCAAAGGTTTATCCCCCTGGACTTTCTTTTATCGTAATCTGGGTAAATCAGCTTTGTCAGCCATGTACATTATGCTGGTTGCTGAAGTTATTTTCCAGGCACATGAGATATTTAAAATAAATAGCCTGCCATGTTTCCACCCTCTCCAGTTGAACATTTTTCCCAGGAAGGCTCCAAATGCCCTTGATTCTCACTTAGCTATAAACCACTCAAATGTGAGCTGAAATGCTTTTTTTGCAATTTTTTAAAGCAAAGGTATATTTTGTATGCACTTTTTCAGGAAGTGTTTTTTTAACCATTTTGGTGAGGTCAAAGGGACAATTGCAAATGGAAAACATGTAGAGAAGGTTTATAGCCAAGTTAGGAAAAGATTGTTTTTCAGCTGCTTTGCACAGACTTTAGAAGATGATATTGTGTGATCTTGCTTCGTGTGTCATTATCCTTGGCTCCTTGGAGACCAGATTATGGTGCTTTGATCTCTGCTATAATTTTTTGAASTAAGGAATTTTCGATTGCATTTTGATCTAATTTACAGAAGGATGCAAAGGTGTGAATTGCATGTAGATAATACTTGCAGATTTCACAAGCATGTAAAATGAGGCAGGAAAAAAAAACCAAGCTACAAATCTCTGTAAATATAGTATGTTTGATGCACTTTTGATATATCTGATATATGCTCTTACAAAAATTGCATTCTTATAAAATTTGCATTCTCATAAAAATTTACATTCCTGTGTCAAATGTCTTGGGGGTGTCTGTACATGATATTTGTATGTGAGTGCAGATTAGGATTAGAAGGTGGTTGTGTGGAATACATGTATGTGTGATTTTGGATTGCATGTTTTCAAAAGGAAAGATTCATTTGGGTGTGACTAAACCTGCATAATGTAAATTCCCTAACACCATGTTGACAGGGTATTTATACCATTTCCTATCATCTTGTGTTCTTTGCTTTTGAAGTGCATATTGTGGTTTCTGCATGAAAATAAGTATGGAGTTTAGCAACTGTAGATTTGTGTGCTAAGGGAAATGAGCAAACTGATGCTCAATGCCTTCTCGTGGGTGATTGAAAGGGTACAAAATGTGAACACTCCCAAGTATTTTTGACAGAAACCTATTCCTTGATCTTGTCGGAGGTACAAGAGCTGGCAATGAAATGAAGTGTTTAACTGTTGGTTTATGTTGCAAAATCTTTCGGCTTTGCAGTGTGGCTCTTAGAGGACTCTAATTCATCATGTGAAAAAAGAATCCTGAAATATTTAGAAGTGGTAATTCAGTCGATCTTCAAAGAGCATTTACATTTTCATGTCCCTTTGAGGTGTCAGTGGTTGTGTCCCGTCTGTCTGATGGCCGGGTTGGGAGCATGGCTGCTGCTTCCTGCAGTCACATTTTCTGGAGTGCAGAAAGTGCAGGTGTGGGGCTGTGCTGTGCTGTGCTGTGGTGAGAGCTGCCAAACTCAGTGAAAACCTTCCATTCACCTCTTTAGGTTTTGATCCCTGTCAGAGAAAATGAAAGAAAGAGCCTGGTCTGACTAATGACAGCAGTTGGCATGTTGAGAGAGGAGTGTCAGGAGGAGGGGAAAATGAAATCCCTTCAGGCAGCTGGCTTGAGCTTAAAGTCAAATATAAAGGCATTCATGTCCTTCCCCGAGCACATGTCCCTTCATGTGACACCTGAGCACCCTAAATACCCTCCTTAGGATTGCCTTTGAAGGGCTGGGCTGTGCCTTTGCTTTGGTACCCACACAGTGACCCTGCCCTGCTCTGCAGCGCTGCCATGGCGAGCTTATATTTGTATTTTACTCTGTTTCTAACATTCTGTCTCTTTTCTCTTTTTTTCTTTTACATGCTTTCATGAGTATAGCCGACCATTTAGGAATTGAATTCATGGGTAAGTTTTCATTTCTCTTCCTTTCAGTTGCTCATATTTATCTTGGTTCCTTAGTCCAGAGAGCGTGGAATTTAATGGGAAGACTCCCATGACCAACACCACTGGGTTTTGGATTGGGTTCCTCTTGTACTTACTGATTACATTTGAAATTATATGAAAGTAATTTTTCTCTTGTGTGYTGCTATGGAGCTTGAAACCTACATAATGATGTTTTAATATTTCACTGATATTTAATGAAACATAACATAAATATTATGTGACCATATAATGTCTTTTGAGGAATAGTACTAAAATATAAATATATAAAWATGGGATTTCAGGGTAGAGTTAATGACCATTTTCATGTAAAGGAAAGTAAATTTTAAATTAGAATTTTTTAAATAATTTGGTGTTAATTACAATATTATATTTAACTAGGTTTAATGAGAAATGTCTTATTAAAGATAATTCTCTCAAGTCAGAGAAATACTTTTAAGAAAAKAATCAAAGATCTGTCATTCTGTGAAAAAAGTTAAAATTGGTTAGGGAAAAGATAAAAAAGGAGCGAAAAATTGCTTCATACAATTTTGGAATGGAAAAGATGAAGTTGTGTTGGCTCAGCTGCAGCTCTGTGATGTGTTCATAGCCTCTTGGAGTGATAGGTTTAACAGATCACCACTTCACCCCTCAACTGGTCATCTTCMGCCTTGAGGAAGATGGGATCCATCCCTAACAGAGTTTGTGGTCTGGTGCATCCTTTGTGCACGAGCAGCTTGCATAAAACATTAAATGATACTGAAAACGCTGTAATAAAAAGCATTTTATTCCTATTGAAGTCATAAAACCATTAATTTTAATGTGTTTCATCCCTATGTTAAGTTTTACTTGATTTTTTTCTAGATTTAAAAAGTAAAATCCTGATAACCTGTTGTTTTTAAGTGACAATGTGGGGTTTTTGTTTCTTAGCGTGAACCTTTCCATAAGAAGCAAGAAAGTGTTATCCAGGAGGCAAAGCTGAATTATTTTAACTTTATTTTGAGACTTTTTCCTCTTTTTTTTTTTAAGACATCATTGTAAGGCTTGAACTAAAGCCAATCCCTGAAGTCTTGGCTCAGAGTAGTCCTCTCATATGAGTAGCTTTCAGATTTTCTCATTTAATATTGGAACAGATCCTGATGGCATAAAAATTAATGAARTCTTGTGTCTCAAGCCTGAAAATATTATGACAGGAGCCTACAATGAGGCTTGAAGTTGTTTTCTGTGGGCTAGAAAAAAAAATCAGGTTCCAGAATCRTACACAAAAGTGAAATACTTGTGCTTCTTAAGTCCTCCTCTAGTCTTCATGGAGATTTGCTTAGGAAATGTAAGCATGCATGGAATAATTATTTATTATTTCCAAGCAAGGTAGAAATCCCCACCCTGTGAACAGAGGGTTCAGGTGACAATATGTTCATCAGATTAGGGCCCCTCCTGTAAAGCCTCTCCAATCAGTTTACTTCTGTACTGTTGAAAATAATGGCAATTACTGCAAAGAGTATTTTCTAGCTACAAAAACAACAATGTAGAGGTGGTGCAGACCTTAGTTTTGTTTGTACATGATCCAGAGAATGCTCTTTCTAATGTTTTCATTGCATTTGTGGTCTCAGTTGCCTTAGAAATTCCATTTCTTTCATCGTCTTCCAGAAATTTTGTTTCAAAACCTTGTAAACTGTGTAACTTGGATTGGCAGGACAAGCTGAATTCTTTCCACAGTAGACAAAGCTGAAATCTCATATAGGTAGGAGCATCTGTCCATTGAGATGTCCCAAGGGGGGACAGATGAAATGTGCACTGACTGCACATCCAGTTTAGTGTCCGTTTGCCAAGGAAAGCGGATAACAGTAGGCTTTTTTTTTTTTTTTTTTTTTTTTTGCTAGACTCTCAAGGATCAGTGAAGTGTATATACATACCCAGTCCTTTTACTGTCCTGTTAGGGATCTGTGGTCCATGAATTTGTGTCCTGCTGAGAACAGTTGTCAGTATTTTCCCCCACCCTCTCTTGTAGCAGCCCATTCCAGAGCTCAGTAGAGGCTGTGTCTGTTGCTTTTCCATTACCTGTTGAAATCTGCTTCCCACCAGATCCTTCTCTCACAAGCAGTACTTGGGGAACAAGAATGATGCAAACAAGAATGATGCATTCTGTGTCTGAACCAGACTGAATTTTGTGTTAAGCTCACTCATGGTCTCACACCCTCTTTGCTCTCTGGGTGTTGTCAGGTTTGGGTTCCATACAATATTCCATATTATGCATTCCAAATCTTGAACATTGCTTTAATATTGCTGCTGATAYTGATTTACACTGTCTGTTTCTTTGTGTGGATAGCAGAGATAAAGGCAGGCATCTTTGAAATGTCACCAATGTAACAATTAATGTATGGTTCTGATGTATTCATTTGTATTGATGTATTCATTCCTGAGTTAAATGAAACTAAAGTGTGTGGTCAGGGGACACTRTGTCCTTATAAATGTGGATTCAAGTATTGCCATCAGAGGTCCAGCTTCATGAAATTTCTGGTGATAAGGAAATGGTTTATACTTTCTAGTACATCAAATCAAAAAGAAAAGAAAGTCTTGTGTCTGATTGTCACTGTTCAATATCCATCTCTGATGTGATCTGGAGCAGCTTTGGGCAAGGGMTTTTAATCTGTGCTTCAGATTCTCCATTACAGTAAATTTTTTCAGGCTTTCTGCATTTAGTTTCTTCAGCTCTCTGGGAGATATCTTTCAGTAACACAGAAACAATTTCTTCCTTGCAAGAGGGTGCAGCCTGGGCTATGTCCTCTCCTGGTAGGGGAGCACACCACTGTGAGGAAAATGCTGTGCAGCTCACCCAGGATTGCACTGCACCCCTTCTGCTTTGGTGTCTCACCAGTGAGGATGCATGCAATTTTATTGCCATTTCCAACACAAAAGTAAGTACCGGTTGCCACAACGTTCCTACAAACTGGAAATCTATGACTTGTGTTAACAATTTTATGTCAATGGAGGCAGAATGGCTGTTGGTAATGCTGATGTGAGCAAGAGAAATAGTTTAAAAAAAAAGAGATGGAAACAAGCAGCTTTTACACAGTGCAAATCRAAGTGATGTGTTGTTAGCACTAGAGAGCATGGGGATACAAGCATCTACAGCTTATTATCATTTTTGGACCCAAGTGGTTAACTGCACTTCAAGGCTGGTTTACTTTTCTGATGGAGAATTTGTTGATGAGGACAAATATCTGTGACAGCAAACATGATCACTGTGGTGCAACAGGCAGCAGCTGAAAGCTGTTGTGGAGTCTTCACTCTGTTCTCCCAGCTGCAGAGGGAAATTGTTGCAGCTGGGAAACTGAGAGCAATCTGAACCCGAGGGTCACCTTTGGATATTCTGAGCTGCAGGGCAGCACTGGAGACAAGGAGCTGTCATTTTTACTCACATTTTACACTGAGGATGGGTGGAGTTAAGGTGTGTAAACGGATGAAACACAAAGGTGAGTATTGGAATAASCTGCTACAACACGTGAACAAACACGGCTGCTTCAGCAGCTCACCTGCACCACCTCATCTGATGGTCCAGAATCTKTGCCTTTCATTCTGTAGTTTATGGTGGATGCAGCTGAAAATAAAATGCTCCAATAAAGTGCAACAGCCAGGTCACTGCAGTTTTGGTGGAAATACAGACATAACACAAAATAGTTGTGATCCTTGGACTGCTTGCCAGTTAAATCAGTATCAATGGTGCAAACAATTCTGATGTGATAATCTCAATCTTTCATGCGTAAATTACAAAAAACAGTATAGTGATTGCTGTATTTAGTCACTGCTTTTAATTTGTTTATACTTAGGGCTTAAACAGCAAATTAATATTTTTCCTTAGAACTACTCATCTCTTCTGGAAAAATCAGAAGCTTCTTCTCTGAAATCAATGGTGCATGAATGGTATATAATACCTTGTAAGTGCTGAATCATTAAATGGCATTTAATTGAGCAGAGTAATAAAATAACTCAAGAATGAGATCCTATTAAACTTTATGTATCTCCTTGCAATGACTACAGTGTGACATGTATTCAGCTYTCTGTGCTCTGAGCAGCTGCTCCTGCTGGAGAAGATGGTGCATGCTGTATTTTCACTGTGCCTGTTCTCACTGCCTCCTCATTGTGCTAACGTGGTTGTACTCCTAAAGCTCTGGGAATACATGATCCAGTTAACCAGATTGACTCTGTGACCTTGTGTCATGCACTGTGACTGGCACATTTTGATTTTTGCAAACTGCAAAAGTTGGTTTTGCTGATGGGCAGGATAAGCAATATTGCAACAACTTAGTGTTTTTCCTGTTTGAAAGAAATAAAAAGGCCAAGTTCATTAGTTCCTGCACAGCTCAAAAACTGMACCTGAACTCTGTCCTCTGAAACTCAATGTCTTGTAGCAGCAGCCAGAAAATGATAATAAATAACCAGTGTGTGCATGGATGGTCCTTGCATTGGTTATCATTTAGAAGCTCCTATCTGTTGTAAAACCCTGTAATGCTCCAGTCCTTGCTGGAAGAGAGGATAAATGTTCAATAACCTGAGCAAAAATGTATGTGTTCTAAAGCATATATGTTATTTATAAAAAATAAATCAGTTTCAGTTCCTCCTGTATTCCTTTTTAATAGGACAAAGCAGGTAGATATTGTCCTGATAATATGGCACACTGGCTGTTTTTATTCTTCTGTTTGCACAAAATCTTATTAGAGATTCTGATCACAATCATCCCACAGAACTATGAAAGCATATATATCTGTCTAGTAATGATATTRTTATTAATCATAAGCATTTAAAATATTTCATCTGTACTCTGTTGGTAAATTCCTGAAGAACTAAGAAGGTCTGTTCTGATAGGCATTGATATTTGGAATGTTTATTACCRTCATCATTGCTCCTTGAATCCCTTTGTTCTTCATCCTGCCCCAAATTTTCATTATCTCTCTCTGTTTTTTATCTTTTCAAACTCAGCAAAGACT